ATTTGTTTCTGAAATGATGAAGGCAACATACAGTAAAACAAAATTTAGAATTAAATGAATTGAGTTCTTCCTCTGGTCATGACATTAATTAATTCTGTGACCTTGGATTCTCTTCCTAAACACCCTGAGCCTTGGTATCTGCTTATATTAATTGAGATAATGAAACATTCAGGGTTACTTTAAGAATCAAATAAGAAATTTATAGTTACAGGTAAAGATATTTTATGCAATACAAAGTATAAGATATCTGCAAATTATTTCAAAATTATTGGTGAATGGGTGCGAATTCTCAATCTCTCATTTAAGCAATATACATATTCAACTAAAATCTATGAATTTAAATTGCAAATACCTCCTGATCTTCAGAAAAGGTCTGTAAACACAGGCGCTCCCAGTGAAGTTACATCAGCAGTTAAAGTCTATCTTTTCCCCCAGATATCCTTTGACTTGAAAGAAATGTTACTTAGTAGAAATTCTCAGAAAAAGGTGTGCATCGCAATTCAGCTTGCAGAAAATCTAAACTCCTTTGAAGACCAGGAGTATGCTTGGCCTGCAAATTTTGAGAAAATTAGAAAAAAAATGTTAATGGATAAAATAGACATAATTTTATTGGATGAAATTTTATTTTAGGCTTACTTACACTATTTTTTATTGCGTAATACCATACACCAAGAGATAAATCAACACATTTATGTTGTCCTGACATTTGTAAATATTCTCTACTATTTTATAAAGGGTACATGTTCGTTGAGTAGGGATGGTCACAAATATTTTCCTCCCACATCACTACAATTTGAACTTAGGACACAACGCTTGCCCAGGACTGTGATGATCACCCAGCCCATCCTTTAAATCAAGTGACAAGATAATCCCTAAGTTGTGAGCTGCAGCCTTTGCCTGCTTCCATATGACCACTGGTGAAGTTTTTGCCAAAGAAAAGAGCTTGCTCCACGCTCCTTCAATGCAGCAGCCTGTTGTTAGGAAGCTCTGCGATAGCTTAGATTAAAGCTGCTTCATGCAGTTTCCTTCCTTGCCCTCTGAATCTGCTTGGAACCAGTTTTCTCTCTTGGCAACATTCAACATTTCATAATGTGAATATGACTACAAGGTTATCTTTCCTCTTTCTCTATACCAGTCAAACTTCTCCAGTTATTTTATGCATTCATGTATGAATTTTCCAAAGTGCTCAACTTCCAGGTATTTACCTGGGATAGCTTTTGCAAGGTCTATTTTAGAATATAATACCTTAATTTCAACAGATTACTCTAGGTGCGGTTTTTCCTATATAGAATACACTGGCAATATTACTTTTCTGTTGTTATCCCAGACACATTGACTCATTATATACACATTCAAACTTACAGTTATCTTTTCACATGAAAAGTTCTCTAGACAGGTCAATACAGTGTTGTGGAATTTTTTAGACTAAATACAAAAATATATGTTCCTAATTTTTCTGTCTTCCTAAATTCTGTTTAGTATCTCAGAAAGTTGGAATCATTAAGAATGAACTCGTATTGAAAGAATAATCATATAATTATTAGATAATAAAGCACTAATGTACTCTGACAATTTTAGAGTAAGTTAGAACCACATTCCTCAACTCACACGTGCCTCCTGACAAGACCTGTGAATCAATTGCTTGTGAATCACTGGCAAAGTGGATCTGAGAAATCCAGGTGTCTGCACATTCTTTGAAATCATTGTGGAAGAAAGGATTTTTAAAATGCTTGCACATTTGACAGTCAGGCAACAAGTCTATGTTTGAGATGAGAATGCCTGTAGGAGTCTGCCTTACGTCAGCTCTGTGTCTTTCATGCAAGCATCTTCAACTCTCCAGTCATCAGTGTTCTTCTCTGTAAAATGAAGGCACGAAGACAAAGACAATGCACCACTCAGAGATTCAGGGAGCCTGGTTCATAGTCTGTACTTTAGAAACTAAGAGTAAGTACAGGTTTTTCCTTTAGGGCTTCATGCCTTTCAAACAGTATTGTCCTTATCCTATCTAATTCATAAGTCTAAGATTTGCTTAAATTATTTTTTAAAAAACAAGCAGCAAACATTTAAGAAAAGATTCTTTGCACTGTTACACTCAATAGCATCCTTACACCTGAGATTTACAATACTCACTCCATGTAATTCCCACAGAAAATCAAACAGGCAATCTTCTTCTCAATGCACTTGCATTTGGCATGGAGGGAATGGGACGGTCATTCCTCTTTATACGTGTACCTGAGATTTCCAGCCCAGGAGTTGCAGACAACTCTGCCTCAACTTTCTTAGATTCAGTTTACGTAAATCTTGTTTATGTCATATAAAGAACATAAATTCAGTCAGACCACAATGAAATGTTCTGGAAACCCAATCATTTGCATATGTACTAAGTATTTAAGGTGCTACTATGAGGAGGAGTCAGTCTAGGTGCTCATCAGCATTTGGTTTGTCGCCTGTGAAATTCCTGCATAATTCCAAAAGACCTGCATTTTCATAAAGGGAATAGGAAGAACAAACAAAGAGTTAGTCTAAGTAGAGCAGTAGCTCCTAGATGATCCATTTTAATTGCCTAATTTTACTCAAGGATTTTGCATCATTTAGACAAAACCTTAAAGTATTAAATCCCATTATTTAATTTTCAAAATGCTTTATAAAGTAATGTATTCATGTGTTCTATATGATCTCACATTTCTCATATCTCCTCTCATCCACACAATCTGAATGCCACCCGCTCAAAACAGCACGTCACACACATCACTAAGTAGGAATCAAGGAATAGAATACACATAATTTTCATAAAAATTGTCCAAATATCTAATTTTATCCCAAACTGTATTCCATCAAAAGATGATTATCTGTCACTCACAGAGAGCTGAATCTCTCAGGAAAGCCATTCAGAGTAGTAGATAGAGAAGGTTATGCATAATTTAGTAAATCAAAAACTTACTGGTAAACTACAAGAACTTTATGTAACTAAACAAGCGATGAAGAACTAAGACTTTTTAGAAGGTTGAAGGTGATATTTTGCTAGAAGGAAAAATGATCAGATTTAGTAGACTTAAATTATCATCTAGCTTATACCGAGAAGAAAACACACAAAGCAATTCATAGGCGTTGGTATCCACAACAGGAAAACCTTCAACACCTAGGCCATCTGGATGCCAAAGTGCTGTCGACGTGTTACCCCTGAAGATCCAGTATGTATAGATTTCTAATCTGGATTTATGAACTTGGCGTGACAGAAGGTATCCTTAGCAACTGATGATGGAGTTAGGACAAAGTGAGACATGCAACAAGTTTATTAAACTCTGTAGAAGGAAGTATTATTAAGCCAAACAAATAAATGCCACCTTAGAAATCCTTGAAATAATTTGCGTTGCCAGGATAAATTGCATAAATTCTCCAGTCTTCTAGAAACATGTAATACTGTCTGTTTGTCTTTACAGGGAAATATTTAGCAAGTAGAGCGGGATAACAGGTCTGAAAAACTAAACATGCAGGAAGAAAGCAGCAGACCAGTAAAGAATGCCGAATTATTCTGGGTGTCCTGCTTTGAGATCCCCGGGTATGCTCTGGCCAGCCATGAGTTACACCAACTCCATCCAAGGCAGAGATAGCCTGAAAATGAAAACCTCCAAAGGCGAAACGGGTGTCTCTGTGAGAATCAAGTTAAGGAACATTTGTTTTGGTTTGGGTTTTTTGTTGTTGTTTTTGTTTTTAAACAGTTTTTAATGGATACATAATATCTGTACATATATATGGGGCACAAGTGATGTTTTGTTACATGGATTGAGTGTGCAGTGACCAAGCCATGGTATTTAAGATACCCATCATGTTGAGTATTTATTATTCCTGTGTACTGGGAACATTCAAGTCTTCTTTTCTAGTTAAATATACAATATGTTGTGAACTATATCATCCTACCCTGCTATCAAACTAGAACTTACTCCTTCTGTCTAACTGTATGTTTGTACTTATTAACCAAAATCACTTCACTCCCACCTCCCAACCCCTACACACCCTTCTTGGCCTCCGGTATCTATTATTCTCTCTACCTCTATGAGATCAATGTTTTAGTTGCCGCATGTGAGTGAGAACATGCAGTATTTGTCCTTCTGTGCCTGGTTTATTTCACTTAATATAATGACCTCTAGTTCCATCTAAGGGACTATTTTTTAAGAAAGATCACTTAATTATCTATATGCAAGTGCTGACATGGAGCGAGTTCTGTAATTGTGCAGATACCCCAGGGGGCCCTGGAGTTCTGCATTGGGATCCCCACAGTCTCTGAGGGTGGTAGATCCCAAGGGCTCACCCTAACAATCCCACCAACAGCACGATAATCAACTGGAGGTGACTACCTCCAAGCGGTGCTGTGCGCCTCGGGACCACTCCTGTTGCTCAGGGCTGCCCACCAAACGTGGCTCTGGCAGGGAGTGTCCGGGGCAGACAGTCCTGAAGTCACCTCACAACTTCTCCCAAGAGCACATGGCTGAGAAAAGTGGGACATGTCCACAGGTCTATGTGGTCCCTAGTTTGGTTTATCTTCCTTCACTCAGCTCAGCAGAGGCCAGACAAAAGTGATGGGTTCTCAGTTCTCTCTAGAAATAGTCTGAACCATCTGTGGAAAGTTGCATCACCCTTCTGGGACTTGGTCCTCCCTACTATTAATTCAAAGTGCGGAGAATGATTTCATACAAATAAACAAAAATAATTGCCTCTGCTCTCACCAATGTGGGAATATGGAAACAAGCTTTAAGTTTTCTTCATTTTCTTAAGAACGAGTTAGAGCAAAACACGTTTTTAGGTAGATTACAACATTAGTTAAGTCCAACTAAACAGTCGGCCTTTTTGAATTTTGTCAAGTTTATTGACTGTAGATAATCAATTTAATATTATCATATATATTATTCAAGAATTACTATGGTAATTAAGAATACAAATAAAAAGTAAAAGAATCACCCCTTATCCACCATCTCAAGCTTCAAATATTCTTCCATTTACTCTCCATATGTATAAAATGTACACTTTTTATTATTGTAATCATGGTATAGTCTTATATTCTGCTTTATGGTTTTATTATTTTTATATGCATTCCTCCATGTTGCTACATATTTTAATTTTGCATCATTTTCAAAGGATTAACGATTCTCTTTCAGGTGGACCTAGTAAAACTTAACCTATTTCTCTACAGCTAGACATTTGGTTTCTTTCCCCTCTTTGTATTAATGTAGCCTCCAAGCTCCGTGAAAGATATTTGTGTGTACATCTTTACTATCCTTGTTAACAATTGCTTTAGCGTCAATTTCCAAAAATTAAGCTCCAGGGTCAAAATGTTTTCTAAATGTTGTCTAAATTTATATAGCTACAAGTTTGAATGTGGACACAAAATTTGTGTATGCACAATTTGTAGTTTCATGTTCTTAAAAAATAAAATAAACCAGTACTTAAAAAGGAAGCTATCTGTGGGCTTATTTGAAAAATCAGGACTTCCAACACATTCAGCTCTCTGGCACAAGTGGCTTTGCTGGATCTGACCACACTAGTTCTTAACCTAGCCAGCTGCAGTCAAAATGCAAGAATTGTTCTTGAGAACTCCAGGTTCCTCCCTGGTGGTTTGAATAAATTTATTTCACTGGTGGTGGTGGTGGTGGTGGTGGTGGTGGTGGTGGTATGTGAATGTTTTTCCATTTTGTTTAGTAAATGTAAACCCATTGATAAATCCCTAAGACATTCCTCAGTCTCATATTTATGGCACATATTGTTGGCTGGACAAAGAGTGAGATCATATATAATTAACAAAGAAACACAGACAATCAAGTACAAAGCAGCAACTAGGGATCTCCCTCGCTTTCACAGCAGGCCACCCTACACATAAGTCGAGTGCAGGTGGACGACTCAGTGGGGTTGACTGTGGTGCACACGCCACACTCCCGAGCACACGGCATCTGTGCAGCCCTGCTGGTCACCTCAGTTCCTGGGATCTGAAACTAGGTAATGATGACAGACTGAAGGTGGCTGAGAGCTGAATATAGAACTAGTGAGGATCAGAAGAAAATTGAGGAAATAGAAAAGAAAAAAGAAATCAAAAAATCAGACTTACTGGTCTTGCCTTTAAATATATAGCATTTTAAATATAAAGGAAATTTTGACAAATAGATTGAACAGAAGGCCATAATACACATTTTAAAAAGAAACTCCTTTCATTTATCACTCTGAATTCATGACATCGGTGTGCACAGATGCAACACAAGTTGGTTTTACTCTTTCCGACAGAACAGTACCATGGTGGTCAGTGAACTACAGAAGGCAGCCCTGGTCAAGTCCATGCTCGGTGAGGAGGAGAGGTTCTTTCTCCCTGGCCTTCGGCTTACACATTTTCCAGGATTGTTTGGGCACCTGGAACCTTGGAGAAGACAGGGATCTCTGTAAACGAATGTGAGAAGAGAAACAAGATGGTTATCAACAGATTGCATGGAATCAAAAGGAGAGTGTTCCATAAGCAGCTTCCTGCTCTAAGAGTCAGAAGTTCAACATCACACAGCATAAGGACAGTGGTCAATAAATATGTATTGACATTGAAATACTATTCAGCCCTAAAAAAGAATGAAATCATGTCATTTGCCGCAACACGAATGAAACTGAAGGTCATTATGTTAAAGGAAATAAGCCAGACACAGAAACAAATTTCACATGTCTCACTCATATGTGGGAGCTAAATATAAGTTCAAATGTTTGATAGCAGAGTAGGGTGACTATAGTCAGCAACAATGTATTATACATTTCAAAGTAGCTGGAAAAGAGAATCTGAAATATTCCCAACACATACAAATGATACTCAGGATGATGGATACCCCACATACCCTGACTTGGTCACTATAAAACCTATGCAAGCAACAAGATATCACAGATGCTCCGTAAATATGTAAAATATTACGTATCAAAAATAAATATCAAGTGAGTACAAATACGAATGAATGAATAAAAATTCTACAGCAACCAAACATGTTAAAATTTGTTCAAAAAATGAATATACTTGGCTGATGTGGGAATCATTAGTGGTTCCAAATTTAGTGTTCCTGGACAAAATTATTTCCTCTTGGAATCTCAATTTCCACCTCTGCAAAATAAGATAACAATATTCACCTCACATCATTGCTGTGAGTGTTCATTGAGATTATAAATTCTGAGAGCACAACAGTCTTATCCTGATGATCTGGGTGTATTCACCCAGTAGCAATAAAAATTTGCCTATCTTATGTACAGTTGCCTAAAGAATGAGTGAACTGATCAAGTAATGAGATATTGGAAGTGGGCCACATTTTGTAATTTTTTATACCATTCAAATGTAAGATGTGACTTATTATTTATAAAACAATTAGGCATATCTTGTTAAGAAATAGGTCATAGTTTTCACTGAATTAACTGGTTGACTCAATCCAAACTGACAGTTTATTAGACCTGTGTATATATAACCACCAAATAGTCACGTTGTGGGCACCTGTGCATGTTGGCATGACCTAAATTCCCAAGCATGAATCTAGGGCTGGTGTCGTACACGCTGGCTACATGGTAGACCAGGGAGCCCATAGGCTTTGTAGTGACCCAGACCTGGCTCACATCTCAGATCTGCCATCTGCTTGGCAGGTGACCTTGAGCACTAAGCTGGTTAACCTTCTGAACTTCTGTTTCTTCATGTATAAAATCATAATCAATTATATATTATCATGATAAGATGAGATAATATCATACATGTCTAACATAAAATGGGAGATAAGAAATATTCGTTTGCTTCTCATTCTGATTCCATTCAAATTAAGGAATAAAAGCTCATTAGAACAATAGGACCAAAACAAAAAGCTAGAAGTGAAACCAACTTTAATAGATGTTACAAAAGAGAGGGAGGGAGGAAAGAAAGGACCTCCATGTCTCTAATTGCCAAGTTTCCCCAGACACCAAGATGATGCTGTGTTGATTTGTCTATGCCCCAGCCTGCCTCACAATTAAGTACCTTGTGTATATAATGGTTTGAAACAACAGTCCGGGGGCCCTGGAGCCCCTGAATACACTGCATTACAGCTGAGGAAGCATGTAGGTGATTTTTGGAGCAGTCCCCACTTTCCGGAAACAAGAAGCTTTATCGCAGACCTTGACACTTGCTCTTATGTAGAATTCATTAAAATCTAGATTGTGTCTTCTTTCTAAAGTCACTTGACTGCCTGCACAGAAAACCTGGAAAATACTTAGGAGCTGGCAGGTAGAGAATCGCTGACTTTTAGTTTTGGAAAATGTATCGTGTACAAGTACAGAGCCTCAGGTGTCTGCACAAGTACAGACCACCCCACTCCCAGCTGTAAAGAATCCTAAAGAGCCACGCTCTTCCTCAATCAGTTTTTTAGAGACAGACAACACCCTCTGCCTCTGCCAGAATGTTCTTGTCCCAGTAAACCCATCTCACTTTACATTCGTTAACCATGGACCTTTGTCCAAGGGCTTAGTCTGCGGGGCTAGAGAGACACCTGTTTTTTCCTTGTCGGTATGTATGCTGTTTCTTTAGAGGTTTCTATGTAGGTTTTATTTGAGCAGCACATATAAATTATGTGGCATGGAAGTAGGTATACTAACTGTAATGTGTTTAATTATTTTAACTAGACTTAGTGACTAGTTATTCATTAATTTTGGAGATGTGAGATTTTGGAGAACAGTTGAAATGTTGTCAAAATAAGTATGAGCTTTGCCTGAGAATGAGTTTGAAGCCACCACTCTGCCGTGTCTGGGAGAATCGGATTTACCATAGGAAACAAGCATGTCCAGAGTAGGCTTTCCCGATCTTGGCACTGTGGATATTTTGTTCTGGTTAATTTTTTTTGTGGGGGCCTGTTCTGTGCATTGTAGGATGTTAAACAGCATCCCTGGCCTCTTCCCACTTGGTACCATTATTACTTTCACCTCCTCATTGTGACAACCAAAAATATCTTCAGACATTGACAAATGTCCCCTTGGAAGCAAAATCACCGCTGGCTGAGAACATGGGGTCACCCGGAGGGTTTGTCAGAAGAGACTTCTGAGCCCTCCAAACAGTTTCTGATTTGATGGGTCCAAAGTGGAGCCTGAGAATTTGCACATTGAACAAGTAGCTGGCGTTGCCGATCCAGAGATGACCCTTTGGCCTAAGGAGCCCTGGGGGTGTGAGCAGTTGGCATATCTGTCTTTCCTCTGTCTGTGAAATCCCTAAGTCGTCGGTTCCCCGATTTTTCTGCAGAGTAGAATCACTTGAAAATCTTTTAAACCTTCCAAAGACCAGGCTATATCCCAGATCAATTCAATCACTACTTCGGGGGTGAGGCACAGGCATTAGTATTTTTGAAACTCATCAGATCATTCCAATATGCAGGCAAATCTGGAGACCTTGCTCTAAATGCCATTATCTCATCTGTAATTTGAAGGCTTGGGGCTGAGCAATTTGTCTTCCCAGCACACGTGTCCTATAAGTCTCAACAGCACAACTAATTCCTAAGTGCTACACAGGACTGTGCAATCTGAGTCTCTGCGGGTAGGAATATGGGGCAAAATTCAAAGACAGAAGCTTTGCGATCACAGCATTCTGAAGTTGGAAGAGCACCAAGAATAGGCAGCAATTCACCCTCATTGCGGTAAAGGTGGATAAAGTATACTTTAGAAAAAGGGGCCCTATGGGAAAATGGGGAGCCTTCAGGAGTGCCCTGTGTGAAAAGAGACAAATTTTACACCTCAGCTTTCATGACCCCTCACGTAGACCCCCAAAGGGACCTGCGTCAGGCTCTGAGCCACAGCCTGGAGCCCAGGAAGGACAAGGAAGAAGGAAAAAAGTCAACAAGAGACCGAGACGCCCATGGAGACTGTGGATCAGGGCAATTCGAGGTGAGTATGCAATGGAAAGTATAAGAGAGAAGAAATAATTTAAACCCTCCACCCCATCCATGCAGCCCCAGCTAGCTTATTACAATAAGCTTGTTATGAAAAGTCACAAAAAGACAATTCTGTAACTTCTCCTCTGTCAAACTTTCCCACATTTAAAATTTTCAACGATCTGGAATTTTGCTTTTTTAAAGCAAAATGAGATAATTTATTATTTTTACTGTCATTTTTAATGAGATACTTCTCATTTTTAATGAGATAATTTATTGTTTTACTATCATACACATTCTCCAGCAAAGCACATAAGCATTCATACTTTTGGAATTAACACTGGCCTTCTCCATAAGTTGCCTATCTTAGACGGCAAAAACCAAGGCTGTGTAAAAACAAAAAAATCTGTAAAACTGTAAGGGAAGTTAAAAAGTCACATCAGTACCAAAAAACCAATGAGAATAAAAACACAACAAAACAAAAACTTGGGCTAGATGTAGCCCACAACACAAAATGTGTCAGTTGCATCCAGGATTTCGTTTTTCATTCATTCTAGTAGTTCTTTAAGACCTGTTGTGTACCACTTATGATCTAGGCATGGTGGACGGGATAGAAAAATAGATCTGTTTCTCCTGGGAAACAGGGTGAAAGGAAATAAATCTCCCTGAATATTACTCTGAGACACACATACACACATGCACATGCTGCACTCATTGCCATGTTGAGAAACTGCCTGAGAAGATAAATCAGCAGTGCCGAGACAACCGAGGACGCATTCCGGGGAGCAGGCACTCATGCACAGCCCCACCAGCCGGAGGGATGTCGACTTCAGATGACCGTGATGGAAGGTGGCGTGGGGATAGCAGTGTTTTCTTGAGCAAGCGTATGCTTCTTTCATCTATCCACTACACATGTTCCTTTGGCCAACCAGCATTGACCAAGGGCCACCATGAACTACAATCCGTCATGAAATAGAACAGAAAGGGCACAGTCCCTGGTCACAGGTAATTTTCAGTCTAGGTGGAGAGATCTGGAGTGCGACAGAGGAGTTCACTTCACTACAACAAATGCATCCCCCTGCAAGGTTTCACAATACGAAGCGCATGTAAGGGGAACCTCTGAGTGGGAGGGACTAGGAGCTCCTGCCGGTGAGTACCAGAGTTAACTCTGATGGTTTTGCAAAACTGATTTGCTTACGTGAAGGAAGAAGAGAGCTAACATTCACTGAATACCTCCTCTGGGAAAGGCACGATCTCACCATTTTCCTTACTCCACACTCACAATAACCGTGGGAAGTGGGCATGATAATCCTAAGTTATAGAGGGGAGCAGAGGTCTGAGGTTATAAAAGTGGTAACAGTGCTGATGTTAGTAGCAGCTGAACTCAAAATGTCACATTCCTTGGGCCAACTCTGTTCTAAGCACTCTACATTTAAAACTACTTAATGCTCCAAACAGTCCCAATAATTTTTGAAATGAGGAACCTGAGGCTGAGTAGCCTGTCCCAGTTACATAGCTGGGAAACTGTGGAGCTGGGGCTCGAACCCAAGCAGCTGGCTCTGGAGACCAGGTACTCAACCACATGCCTTACACTGCATAAAACCAGATAAGAACATTCAGCCAAGTCAGAGTCAAATTATTGCAGATTTTAAACATGTGGGTTCTTGTCCTTTCTCATTTGCTTTGGTGGAGAGCGAGGGAAGGGGAAAAAAGGTAACTGATGGTAAGTTTCTACTGCAGAGGTTCTCAGTTGGGGGTAACTGTGTCCCTGCATCTGACAATGTCTGGAGATATGTTTGGTTTTTACAGCTGAAGGGGGTTGCCATGGCATCTACAGGGTCAGGTACAGGCATGCTGCTAAATGTCCTGCAATGCACAAAACCGTGCCCCACAGTAAGGAAGTATCCGTTCCAAAATACCAACCGTGCCGAGGCTGAGAAGAACCACTTCAGAACAGTTACGAGTTATTTTGGACCTGGCCTAGAAGATCAAGTATTTGTTAACCAAAAATAAGCATCAAAATAATTAAGTAAACTTTAGAAAAGAGATTTTTGATCAAGGCTGTCACTTCTCACCAATAACAGATATTGGACTAAGCTCCTTCCAGACGTAAAATACGGTGGTCTGAGACATTTGAGACACCAAACTAGACAAGCTGTGCTTACAGGACACCGAAACAGGGACCGTGTGAGAAAACTATCTTTAGAGGAAAGCTTTTAAATGTACCCGAGGCTTCGTTTTAATTCGTGTATGGCAAGGCCAGTGGATCGGGAAGTGATTGGCATTGAAACGGTGGCTTGTCACGTCCCCGGGAGGAGCACACACACCACGCAGGGCCACACGGGGAAGGCAGAAGGAGTGAGCAGGAAACAGAGACCAAGCCTTCGCTGTGTCTTCCCTGGGAAGAAACAACGGTCGGGGTAAACAGCTGAGCAGGCTCAGGACTGGAAAGTGTGAATGATTTGGGTGGCTCTGGGCTCTACGGGTGGTCTCTAACTGCCCAGGAGCTGGACCTGGTGAATCATAACTGAGCACAGGAAGGTGTCCCTGACTGTGGGAACCTCATAAAAGGAGGTGGGTGGGGCTGTAGACTCGGGAATTGGTTGATTTGCTTCTCAAAGGCATGCTCACAAGCAAGGTATTCACCATCTCTAGGAATTAGCTAACCCTGGGAAGTGCAGTCCCTCCCCAGGTCCACGAGTCCTCAAGATGGCAACGCATCATACAATACAGAAAACAGGTGCAGTGTATATTTTAGCTCCACTCAAAGTCATGTCTCAAAAGTTTGAGTTTAACCATGTTAATTTCTGTGCTCAGCTCCAGAGACAGGCTTTTGGAGTGGGCCCTGCTACGCACTCCGAACACGTCTGACTCACATCTAAGGGATCTGTGTGCCTGCTGTGAGCAGCCTCAGAATGGTGGAGTTTAAGGCCACAGATGAGAGAGGCCCCTTGGCATAGCAAGAAGAACCAGGACAAGCACCGAGAGAGCCACTTCCTGGCACAGCTCTCTCTGCTCTCTGTGTGACCTCCGGCAAGTTCCAGTTTCTAAGATCCTTTGACCTTTGACCATACAACGGTGAGATGTGGGCAGTAGACTAGTCAGTGAGTGTCAGCTTGTACCACACTTCAGAACAGTGGGAGCTCGAGCTTCGAAAAGCACAGGCACCCATGGAGAAATCCATAGATTGTACAGCCTTGTCACCCCTCTGATGTGCTGTCCCTCTGGGACACTTGCTGCCCCTCGCACTCTGTCCCGGTGACCCTGTGGTATCCACCAGCTCCATTATTCTCTCATATTCTCAACTCCTTAATACCATACTGGGAAGTTCATTTTATTTCCCTTCAATCCCTCCATTGAAGCCATTTGCCGTCAGACATACGCAGAAATAAAAGCTAAAACTGAAGGCATTCCCTAGGATTCAGGAGTCTGGGACCAGGGTTTCCGCAGAGCTTCCTGGCTCAGGGAACTTGCCAGGGAGATAGATCTTTACCACGTCTAGCACAACCTCATCCTTGGAGCAGCGTCGTTAATCGTTAATCCTAATTTGTCCCTCATCCTCAGCTCCTAAAACTGCCTTTGGGTGACTTATTTCCTATCATCGCTTACCTCATAATTCCTTGAGATTTGACTTTACCTGAATAAATATAATTTCAGAAGGGAGCCCTTTAGGGGTGCAGATCCCTCCCAAAGGAAACTACTGACCTGGCTTACATGTTCCTAACACGTACTCATAGATTTATATTTTAAAAGAAGCCCAATCTTTATCAAGAAATTTAAAAATCTTCTTAATTAACAGAATAGGACTCAGCTATCGGGAAACTATTGAAATCAAGATAAGAGAACAACAGTACGCGAATGAGAACATAGTGTCAAAATTCCAGAAGAGCAAAGGTGCCAAGTCTGGAATTCCTTAGGGCCAAGGTAACAAAAGACTGTGATGCCTGCACAGCTCCACTAGTTAATAAAATGCAACACGTCAGCAACAGACACAGGCTCTGACCTATTTCTTTTGTTGTTGTTGTTGTTTTAGGTTTTTTTGTTTTTGTTTTTTGGTGTTTTTTTGAGATGGAGTCTCGCTCTGTTGCCCTGGCTGGAGTGCAGTGGTGCGATCTCGGCTCACTGCAAGCTCCGCCTCCCGGGTTCACGCCATTCTCCTGCCTCAGCCTCCCGAGTAGCTGGGACTACAAACATGTGCCACCACGCCCGGCTAATTTTGTATTTTTAGTAGAAACGGGGTTTCTCCATGTTGGTCAGGCTAGTCTCAAACTGCCAACCTCAGGTGATCCACCTGGCTCGGCCTCCCAAAGTGCTGGGATTATAGGCGTGAGCCACTGTACCCAGCGGCTCTAACCTATTTCTCAAAGAAACAGATCACTGGATGCTCAAGGTAAGGACTTCGAACCACGTAATCCATGTATTGGTAGATCTAGTCCTCAAGTTAGGCATAAGAATAAATCGTTTTGTTTTCAATATTTTCCTGTGCACATATTTGTTTGTTGAAGTGTTAAGAATATTGTTAACTATGCATTTTTCAAAAACATGGGACGTTGTAATGTGCTGTTGTTCTTTTCCTAGCTTTTTGAAACAGAAATTAGATCACTAGTTTTTACACTTTTCTCTTTTCTAGCACATGTATTTTGAGTTATGAGTTTCCCTCTGAGTACTGCTTTGGCTGCACACCATGCTTTTTGTAATAATTTTTCATTGTGAAATAATGTTAACCCTACAAAAAATTTATAAGGACATTGCAAAGCACTTCAGCTGCCTCTTCACCGACCTTCCTAGTTGTTGCCCTTTTGCCATCTTCGCCCCATCTCTGTCTCTGAGTGAATGTATCTGAGCCCCTGGTGAGCCGGTTCGCTTTCCTCTCCACAGTGAGGCTCGGCAGGAGGCAGGCAGAGGGCCTTGGAACCACTCCTCCACCACTGGCTTTGTCCTCACTAGACTTTTCAATGAGAGCCAGATGCACCTGTTCCTCTTCAGCATGGTGGTGCTGGTCTACATCCTCGCCATGGCTGGCAATGCCACCATGGTCCTCCTGATCTGGGCCGATGCCCAGCTCCACAAGCCCATGTACTTCCTCCTCAGCCAGCTGTCCTTCCTGGACATCTTCTTTTCTTCAGTCACTGTCCCCAAGATGATAGTGGCCTTCCTCTTTGATTGGACAAGCATCTCTTTTGGGGGCTGTGGGGCACAAATGTTTTTCTTCATGTTCCTGGGAGCTGCAGAGTGTCTCCTGCTGGCCCTCATGGCCTATGACCGCTATGTAGCCATCTGCAACCCTCTGCGTTACCCAGTGCTTATGAGCCGTCGCGTCTGCCTGCTCATGGTTGTGAGCTCCTGGCTGGGAGGGTCCTTCAATGCCTCCATCCAGACCTCGCTAACTCTGCAGTTCCCCTACTGTGGCTCACGAAAGGTCACCCACTTCTTCTGCGAAGTGCCTTCGCTGCTGATGCTGGCCTGTGCAGACACAGAGGCCTATAAGCAGGTGCTCTTTGTGACAGGTGTGGTGGTCCTCTTGGTGCCCATTGCCTTCATCACCACCTCCTACGCCTTCATTTTGGTGGCTGTGCTCCAGATGCACTCTGTGGAGGGGCGTCAGAAGGCCCTGGCCACCTGTTCCTCCCACTTGACAGTAGTCAACCTCTTCTATGGGCCCCTTGTCTACACCTACATGTTACCTGCATCCTACCACTCTCCTGGCCAGGATAATGTCGTATCTGTCTTCTATACTGTTCTCACACCCTTGCTCAACCCTGTCATCCTGTCTCTTATACACATCTAGATGTGTATAAGAGACAGAGCTTCTACTTATAAGTGAGAACATGCAGTATTTAGTTTTCTGCTCCTGTGTTAGTTTGCTTAGGATAACGGCCTCCAGCTCCATCCATGTTGCTGCAAAGGATATGATCTTATTCTTTTTTATGGCTGCATAGTATTCCATGGTGTATCGTATTTTGTTTAATCTACTGTTGATGGGCATTTAAGTTGATTCCATGTCTTTGCTATTGTGAATAGTGCTGCAATGAGCATATACGTGCTTGTGTCTGTATGGTAGAATAATTTATATTCCTCACCTTCTTTATACTCCAATTTCATCTGAGCAGATACTACCTGGAGTAAAGAATATATTTCCGTTACTGACAATATATTGTATTCTTGAAAAATGCTAAGAAAGTAGACATTGTGTTTTTATTATAACAGTGATAACTATGTGAGGTAATACATTTATTAAACAGCTTGATTTAATCATGCCACAATGTATGTATATTTTAATATACTTCAAAACATCATGCTGTACATGATGAATACATATAATTTTATATATCAATTAAAAATACATTTAAAAATAAAGTAAAATTTAAATGTTAAAACGAAAAACAAGAACAGGTGTCCCAGTTACTCTCGCAGCTAGGTAAGCTCTGGCAAGTGGACTACAGGTATAAAGGTTTGTGCTTTCCAGCAGTTCCTGAGAAGCCAGGGTAATATCACATGCCTCTCGACATCACCCGCCTTTCTTGCTGGCTGGTGTGTAGTCATGGCGGCTGGAGCTTCAGCAGACATCTTGCAGCATGAGGCAGAAGTCAGGAAATGAGAATGTGAAGCAAATATAAAAGGAAGCTTCTGAAACCATGGAGTAAATCACAGCCACTTGCCTTGCTGGGCATTTGCAGTGAACCTAATTT